CTTATTAATTTATTGGGTGTCTCTTCCAAGGAGTATAGAGACAATTGGGATTTGAAGAACTTGATAGGTCAATAAACCCATATAGAGATATATATATATACACACACACACACACATATACATACACATATACATATATTACATACAAACCCATTAACAATTCACCAACATTTCCCTAAATTTACCTCTAATTAGGATGGTATAATTAATTTTTTTACATACATATGAACTTCCCATGTATAGTAGTAGTACAAAACTAAATTGTGTTTGGACAAAATATATGCACGTATAATATGTAACATTATTATAAGTACCATAACATAATATAATATAATATAAGATAATATTAGAGTCCATTGTAATAAACGTTCAAAAATATTATTATTATCTTCTCTAAATTTTACTTTGCTAAAATTGGCTTAGAGATTAACGGTGCATGTACGGAAAATTACAGCTAACATTAATCTTTTCTTAATTGCAATTTACATAGTAAAACTTTTGGGTTAATCCATATTTTTAAAAAAAAAATTTAAAAAAAATTTTGACCCCACACAAAAATTTTATATGTGAATATTTTTCCAACGTAAAAAAAAATAATAATAAATAATAACAGATATAATAATGCGTTAATTATGATATGATTAGCTGTTAAACATCATTAGAAGTTGTAATTAATTTATAAAATTCGTAAATTAGGTATGTGGAGATTTGGCCACGGAATTCGAAAGTTGACAGTTCACGACGATCAATTCAAAGTTTTTATTTCTTAAACTTTAATTAATTTTTTTAAAAAAAAAAAATTGATTAAAATTCATTAAAAATATTTTTTAATTTATTATGTACAAAGCAAAAAAGATTTTAACACAAATATTAGAATTTTTACTCTTTCTATTAATTACTTCTACAAGAAGAGCAAATTCTCTTGGCAAAAAAAAAAAAAAAAGAAGTCAAATTCTCCTCTTCCAAACTATATATTCTTTTTCAACATTTTGCTAAATTAGAAACATGTAACAACACTAATTCTTCGAAATTTCCGAAAAAATTATTCTATTCGGGG